TTTGGGGTCATATAAGATTAAGTATTATCATTGTGTTTCTCTTTGCATGTTTTTACTTCCAGAATAATTGAGTTTATTAAGAATAATCAAATCATTCAAACGGTCCGCAGTCGGTCATACATTGGAAGTAGGTATAATTGAAGACTATCATGAATTGGTTTGTAGATTGTCTAAAGTGTATTGGACATAGCAAAGGTTTACTGCAATGTTCATGAGTGCTTATGAATATGATTTTGAGCATTGGATTAAACTCACGCTCAATTGGACTGCTTCATGGATTTTTATCACAAGCGATTGGTGAGACGATAATATCTTGTATTCTTGAAACCGAGATGTGTAAGTTGTATCTTGCGAATTGGTTGCACATTGATAATACGTAAACACACTAGTAACTTGGTGTTATAAAAATTATTTTTGTGTGTGATTTGGTGAGTGAGTGCAAGCAAGCATTGAGTCGAAGTTTATCCGTTCCTTTTACCCAAAGTGTTAATCGGAAATCGAGAAACAACACATAGACTGAGAGAATGATTTCAATCCATGTCTCACGTCTATACGATATCCAGAATGGAGGAATATATGATCCCTTATCTAAAGGACAGGTTACTGATAAGATCAGAGTTTGACAGCGTCTTTGAGAGCTACGATTGCTAATCGAGTTGTAATTACATATGTGGTTACTAGACATATCCAAGTGGGAGACTGTTGGATTGGTGTCTAAGCCCGTAACTATATTTCGTAAGTACTTGACCCGATTGAGCATGGTCCTTTTGGGTTGCCTTCACCAAAGCAACTTGATTGGAGAAATAATAGAGAAAGAGGTTATTATGATTTATTAATATGTTATAAGAATAATATATTAAAGGAGAAGTCATATTTATTTAATTAATATTGGTCAATAATTAATTAAGAATTAATTTTGTGATAAAGTGTAATTAATTAAATTAGAGGGGATGAATTGTAATTATGTGATAGTTACAAAGTAGGGTAAGGATTATCCTAGATATGGGTTGGACGAAATCAAGAGGATAAGGATCCTTGAAATTGTCCAAAGATAAGGGCATTCAAGGCTTATCTTATTGTTACTTGGTGGGCAAGCAACTAGATAAGGATAAGGACTGAAACCCTAATCTCCACACCTATATAAACACCCCTTTGCCATAAGAATTCGTCCATGCTTATTAAAGGGTTCTTAGGGCCGATTTCTATCTCTTTCCTTCTTTCTCTATAGCCTCTCCAATTGCTTGTGGTGTTTGTGAGCCATTAGAGGCACTACACTTGTGGTGCTTGCTTTCAATACTTAGGGTTTGAAGATTTAAGTTGTTATTGCAATATAACAACAAGAGGTATTTGATCTATCCTTCTTGGTGAATTTCGAAAATAGTAGACCACACATTAGGGTTTCATTATGTGTTCATAATGTTGTGTATCTAATAGTAAAAACATAGATCCAAATCTAGGGTTGCATGAACACATAGGATTATTTGTATAAAACCCAACAAAAACTACTTCTTGAGTTGCCTTTTGAACTCATCCCAAGTCTCTATGGTGTATAACCCTTTTTATATGTCGTTATGCTTCCGCCTCCACCATAGGGCGGCGTTCTCGCATAGGTATAGGACGGCCATGTCAATTTTAGGCTTATCATCCTTTACCCTGATTGCATTGAAGTAACATTCTACGGAAAAAAAAATTCCTCAAGAAGTTTAGGGTCATGCTTACCTCCGTACTACAGGGGTTTAGGTGCATCGGCATGAAAAATTATCTTTGTACTTGCTCCTCCAGCAATTGCGACTTTGCACAGATTTACTTCGGCTTCTAGAGTAGCTACCTTCTCATGGAACTCATTCTGCAGGGTGTTAATAACTCCAAGGACTTCTTCCTTGATGACACCGATGGTCTCCTTCAATCCATCGCTAGTGTCACTTATCTCGGCAACGAACTGATCGATTGTATCCTTCCATTCAAGGATCTCATCGACGTTAATCTCAGTTCTTGTAAGCTTGTTCTCTAAGCTTGCCAAGGCATCTATCGATTGGTCCCTTTTCTTGGACTTTATTCCTTTATCCTCGACGACAGGAGGCACGTTTGCTACTTCACTACCGCCTCCTTCCATAGCCATGATCTGTTGCTTGTACGGACTCTGGCTCTGATACCATGTGTCACGGGATGCTTCAATCACCGTATGCCACTTAGTGTTCTCTCCGAATAAGTCAGGCTAATTACGATGGCTTAGATGTATTAACGATTAAAGGAAGCAAGAGAAATAAAAATAAACACTTCTAAGAAAAGAGCTTCTTTATACAACTTAACTTCTTACAAGAGAACTTCTCCGATGGTTTGGACAAATGAGTCATCCCCCTATTTATAGGTATCCTACACCTCCTCAAAGGGAAGTTTCTAGGTTTCATACATTCCTGAGTATTCTAGTTTGTTCTTTACAAGATCCTTATCTATATACAAAGTTCTACACAATTCTATTCTATACTTTTGTGTCCTAGAGAATTCTAGGTCGTTCTACGGACTTATGGTAGATTATTACTTATTTTACCATCTTCTTGAACAGTTTGGAAAATTCTAGAACCCCGACTCGTGACAGGTGGGTGAGAATGAACACCCATTCAACAACTATTTTATTGGTCGCTTCTGTACAACCCCCTTATAGTCCGACTTCGTGAATGAGGCATACTAGCGATTTGAATGACTTATCTTATACATATAATATACTAAACTTTTAATCATATATAGTATACAGTGTATTTTAAACTTTTCAAAATACTAGGGTTTCAAGAAATTTCTTATTCCCAGATTGTGGACAATAAATGGATCAAGTAAAGGCCTTGGGCTTCAAGAGAGTAAGTTTTAGACCCTATTGTATGTTGACCATGTTATTTATGTTATCTAAGCTATTGGTTTGTGTTTTGGAGTCAAAAGGTAAAATGGGAAAAATGATGTTTTGGACTTCTTTCATTAAGGATTTTATTTCGGTATGTTTTAAGTAAAAACTAATTCGATAGATTTGTGGGGCTTGTCAATGCCTTTTCGTTCATATAACGATTGCGGAAAATAGAGTTCAAACGAAGAAGTAATGGCTTATTGGAGGTGAAGTGGATTTGAGTGAAAAATCGTCGCCACGAAGTGGAGATCAGAGCTCCATGACGTGGAAAACCACGAAGTGGAGACACGTGGCCATAGAATAGCAATATGTCAAGCCTAAGCCCATGATTGCCTACAAGAGTGATTTTGATTACCCATGTTTGAGAAGGGTAGTATAGTAATTTTATTTCATGCAGTAATCACTGTTTTTTTATAACTATTTTTTTTATGAAGTGACCATTATTATGTCGTCACAATGTGTGGTTTTGAAAAGGGTGTTGCTATTAAGACACCTTTTAGACACCATATATACATTTGTATCAAAAGTCAACTAATAGGTAACTATTTTTAATCATCTTTTTCAAAAAAAACAATGTAATTTTAACCAATAAAAAAACCTTAAAAATTATATAGGGTGTTTAAATTGTAAAATAGGGTGTCCATTTAACCAACCTCTTTGAAAAACAAATAACAATTAATGATCACCATTTTTGATCACTAAGTCTCCACCGCAATGATAGTTTATTTTGGTCATTAAATGTTAAATCAGTGACCACTAATTTTAGTCATTGATACTTGTTATGAAATAAATAATAATAATAATAATAATAATTGTTAGTGACTACTCAATGACAACTATCTCTGATTTATCACTAAATATGTATAACTACTAAAATTCAATGATCACTTTATATATGATGACTAAAGAATGTACTTTATATATGATGACTAAAGAATGTTGTTAGTGATCAGATTTCTAGTTGTCACTAAAACATTGGTCACTAAAAAGGAATTTTCTTGTAGTGGATCATACTTTTCTCTCCCCATTAACGTTGTTGATCAAGAACCATTTGCAATCCTCATGTATTTAATAATGTCTTATGGTTTTCTGTTTTGAATTTGCATGTGTTATTCGTATACATTATATCATTAGATTACAACACATCATGGTGTATATTTAAACGTTAATGAAATTAAAAAGAAGTAAACGCATATTAGTATTATATTATATAGCTAATTAACTAAATAAACGCCCCCATCTGGCCAACCATAGTTGATTTGGGTGATGATTAAAGCTAATGGGAAAACTCCTAAAGAAAAAACAAAAAAGAAAAAGAAATCAGACCAACACATGTAGTGACCTTTGTCGTGGGAGCTTCTATAATTATTCTTAAAATTGTCGAAAATTTTAAGGTTGTCTATATCAATTATAATTGTATTTGTAAAAGATAAACCGTTGAATACACATTTTCTGTTTTTTCCGTTTAAAAAAAGTTGTACCGCTTTTGTAGTTTTCTTTAGACCAATTATTAAAATATAAAACCTTCAAAAACAACATATATTGTGATAACAACTACGAAATTATAATTATAATATTTATCTTAATTATTAAAATATTTGATTAAATAATAAAAGGCATAAAAATGTATATTCCGTACAATGATCATTGCTGTTTATACACAAAAATATTCATAAATTTCTAATTAATTAATTCTTGTTGTGCATATACCCCTTAATATAAATATAAATATATTCAAATGTAAATACTTGACCCATTATTATGAATATTAAAAATATACTAATGATTTTTTATTCTATATAATCATCATCCATGCAAATATAAATAGAAATAATTAATAATATACGAACAACTTGATCATGTAATATTAGATTAGTCATTAGTGAGAAGTTGGTGTCCACTATTATTGGGTACTTTGTTCTTGTAGTGGTAGACTTGCTAGTGCATGCATATGCATGACATTTGTAATTGTAATCACACTTGGTCATGGGCGCCACCTCATGCTTTTCTAATCATTTCTCTCCCATATCAACACCTTGCATTCAGGTCTTTCTCATCAAGTCAATAGTCGTCTTAAACTAAATTTGTTAACTTCGATCGCCGCCATATGACTCGCACGCAGCGCCCTCCGCCGTCTAACCGTTCACGGAATCCCGACCCAAGATCCGATGAAAGAATCTATAACATAATCCCATTAAACAACTTACACCCTGATCATCCATCCCACCGTTTCCCAGAAGTACATGCTGCCATTGCTGCTCTGAAGGCTGGTGTTGACCTCCGCAGATCACCCTCTATCCAACTGCAACCCAACGACGACCTCCTCGACTGGCTTGGCATCTTGTTCGGTTTCCAAGGTCACAACGTGTTAAACCAACGGGAGCACCTCGTTCTCCACCTCGCTAACGCCCAGATGCGGTTGCAGCCACCACCCGACAATATTAACACCCTCGACCCCGCCATGCTACGCCGTTTTCGCGTTAAGTTGCTCAAGAACTACACGCACTGGTGCTCTTTTCTTGGCCGTAAATCTAGCGTCTGGGTCACCACATCCTCCGGCGCCGACAGAGACCTACTGTATGCTGCACTCTATCTACTCATTTGGGGCGAGTCCGCGAATCTACGCTTCATGCCTGAGTGTATTTGTTATATATTTCATCATATGGCTGAGGAACTAAATAAAATTCTAGATGAATACATCGATGAGAACACCGCCGGTAGGCCTGTTTTGCCATCAATTAATTTATGGGGAAAACTCATTTTTGAATCACGTTGTTAAACCAATTTACAATATTATCAAGGCCGAGGTAAGCAACAGTAAAAACGGCACAACACCTCATTCTAATTGGAGGAATTACGATGACATCAACGAGTACTTTTGGAGTAGAAGTTGTTTCGAGAAATTGAAATGGCCTATGGAAATCGGGAGTAATTTCTTTGAGACAAAAAGCAAAGAAAAGTGGGAAGGGAAGACGGGTTTCGTTGAGCAGAGATCTTTTCTGAACCTATTTAGAAGCTTCGATAAGTTGTGGACTATGTTGTTCCTCTATCTACAAGCTGCCATCATTGTTGCGTGGAAAGATTCCAACGATCCTCAGTTGCACGCTTTAAACGACAAAGATGTTCAAGCAGAGCTTTTGAGTGTGTTCATAACTTGGAGTTCCCTAAGGTTCCTGAAAGCTCTTCTCGATGTTGTGATGCAGTATAAACTGGTTTCCAGAGAGACTTCTTTCTGGCTTGGTGTAAGAATGGCGTTGAAGATCACTGTTTCGATTGTTTGGATTACTGTTTTTGCGACGTTGTATGCTAGAATCTGGAGTCAGAAAAAGAAGGATATGGGTTGGTCAGATAACACTACTAAAGAAGTGATAAGTTTCCTCAAGACAGCATTCGTCTTCATCATCCCTCAAGTCTTAGCACCAGTCCTCTTCATTTTTCCAATTCCTACTGACTTGATCGAGACTACTAACTGGAGCGTCTTCTACACGATAACATGGTGGTTTCAGACTAGAGCTTTTGTGGGCCGAGGACTTAAGGAAGGATGGGTTGATAGGATGAAGTATTCTATGTTCTGGATCATGGTTCTCGCCACAAAGTTTTGTTTTAGTTACTTCTTTCAGATCAAACCAATGATTCATCCCACTAAAGACCTCTTACACCACTCCAACATCACATACGAATGGCATCAGTTCTTTAGTAAAAGCAACAGGTTTGCAGTTGGCCTTATCTGGCTACCAGTTGTATTGATCTATTTGATGGACTTACAAATCTGGTACTCCATTTATTCTTCATTTGTGGGTGCGGGTGTTGGGTTGTTTAGCCATTTGGGTGAGATCCGCAACATGCAACAACTGAAATTGAGGTTTCAGTTTTTTGCTGGTGCAATACGATATAATCTCATGCCAGTTGAGTTGTCGCTAGTTCCTATTAACTTGATTAAAACTCAATGGGGCATGGCTAGAGATCGCCTTCATCGATTGCGATTAAGGTATGGTCTTGGCCTGCCTTTCAAGAAAATTGAATCAAACGAAGTTGAGGCCTTTAAATTTGCGGCGACATGGAATGAAATAATTTTGAATTTTAGAAAAGAAGACATTGTTAGTGATGAGGAAGTTGAGCTTCTTGAGATGCCTCGAGATACATGGAATGGTAGAGTCCTAGGATGGCCGTGTTTTCTACTTTGTAAAGAGTTATATCTTGCTATCAACCAGGCAAAAGAGTTGACTGATACAGGAGACGAGTGGTTATGGCATAAGATCCAAAAGAATGAGTACAGACGTTGTTCGGTTATAGAAACTTACGACAGTGTCAAGAAGTTGCTGCTCTCGATCGTAGAGGACGAAACGCAAGAAATCGCAATTCTCAGAAAACTGTTTGAAGAAATCGAAAACTCAATTGATATCGGCATGTTTACTAATACGTTTAACATGTCCGCCCTTCCCATGATTCATGATAAATTGGTCACTCTTGTCGATTTGATCATAAAGTCGAAAAAAGATTATGAGAAAGTGGATAACACGCTACAGGAACTTTACGAGCTTTTCATAAGGGATTTCTTCACAAAGAAAAGGACCATAAAGAAGCTTATAGACGACGGCTTGGTTCCTGACAGCTGGCCGCTTTCAGGCGCAGGTTCATTGCGGCTGTTTTTAGAAAATGTTGTCAAGTTGCCTGATCCAAGCGATGAGGTTTTCTATCGACAGACTCGAAGACTCCACATGATTCTCACATCACCTGACTTGTTGAACAATATTCCTGTGAATATTGAGGCCAGGCGACGACTTGCATTCTTCAGTAACTCCTTGTTTATGAACATACCTCATGCTCCTGTAGTTGAGAAGATGATGGCTTTCAGTGTCTTGACACCCTACTACAATGAAGATGTAGTGTACCAAAAAGAACAACTTGTTACAGAAAACGAGGATGGGGTTTCCATTCTTTATTATCTAAAGACCGTTTATGCTGATGAATGGGCCAACTTTTTGCAACGAATGCGTCGCAAAGGGCTTGTCTCAGAGGATGAGTTGTGGACAACTAAGCTCAGAGAACTTCAGCTTTGGGCATCATACAGAGGCCAGACCCTTGCTCGCACAGTTAGGGGAATGATGTACAATTCTCGAGCACTTCAGAAGCTAAACTTGTTTGATGCGGCATCTAAGGAAAACATTGATACTGATGGGGTTAATGCTTTGGAAACATGTTATAAGCGCGGAATGGAGTCGATAAAATATACGTACATAGTTGCCTGTCAGATATATGGGACTCAAAAGGCGAAAAAGGATCCTAATGCTAATGAGATTTTGTGTTTAATGATAGCAAACCGAGATCTTCGTGTGGCCTATGTTGATGAGGTGTCCACAAGAGATGGAACAGATTATTATTCTGTTCTCGTCAAGTATGATTGGACTTTGGAAAGAGAAGTTGAAATTTATCGGATACAGTTGCCGGGTCCTTTGAAGCTTGGCGAGGGAAAGCCCGAGAATCAGAACCATGCACTCATTTTTACTCGGGGGGAAGCCGTTCAAACCATTGATATGAATCAAGACAACTATTTTGAGGAGGCTCTTAAGATGAGGAATTTACTTGAGGAGTTCAAAGTTTCATATGGTATTCATAGGCCACAAATTTTGGGAGTTAGGGAACATATCTTTACGGGTTCTGTCTCTTCCCTTGCTTGGTTCATGTCGGCTCAAGAAACAAGCTTTGTGACATTGGGCCAACGCGTTTTGGCAAACCCTTTGAAAATCCGGTTTCATTATGGGCATCCAGATGTGTTTGATAGATTTTGGTTCTTAACTCGTGGTGGAATCAGTAAAGCATCGAAACCAATCAACTTAAGTGAAGACATTTTTGCTGGTTTTAACTGCACCTTAAGAGGGGGAAACGTGACTCACCATGAGTACATACAAGTCGGAAAAGGAAGGGATGTCGGGTTAAACCAAGTATCCATGTTCGAAGCAAAAGTTGCAAGCGGAAACGGCGAACAAGTTCTTAGTAGAGACGTTTACAGATTGGGCCATAGACTCGATTTCTTCAGAATGCTTTCGTTTTTCTACACAACAGTTGGATTCTTTTTCAACACCATGATGATTTCGTTAGCTGTATATGCCTTTTTGTGGAGTCGGTTATATCTCGCATTGAGTGGGGTCGAGAATGTTGTAGCGGACAATGCTAACACAACCAATGCTTTGGCTACGATTTTAAACCAGCAGTTTCTTGTCCAGCTTGGACTTCTCACTGTCTTGCCCATGATTTTCGAAAACACTCTTGAATTCGGATTTTTCTCAGCAATTTGGGATTTCATAGTAATGCAGCTACAACTTTCCTCTGTATTCTACACATTTTCTGTGGGAACCCGTTCTCATTACTTTGGTCGAACCATCCTTCACGGAGGAGCAAAATACAGGGCAACAGGGCGTGGTTTTGTGGTGCATCACACGAGTTTTGCTGAGAATTACAGACTCTATGCTCGTAGCCATTTTATAAAAGCGATTGAACTTGGTTTGATCCTAATCATTTATGTTGTATATAGCCCTGTTGCTAAAGGAACATTCGCCTACATTGCATTGACCATTTCAAGTTGGTTCCTTGTGGTTTCATGGATCATGGCACCATTTGTGTTCAATCCTTCTGGGTTCGATTGGTTAAAAACAGTCGGAGATTTTTACGATTTCATCAACTGGATACACTTTCGAGGTAGCGTGCTTGCAACACCTGAAGAGAGCTGGGAAAAATGGTGGTATGATGAACAGGATCATCTGAGAACAACTGGTGTATATGGAAAGTGTTCGGAAATTATTTTGGATTTACGGTTTTTCTTTTTCCAGTATGGAATGGTTTATAAATTGGGTATTGCTGCCGATAGTAAAAGCATTGCTGTTTACTTCCTTTCTTGGATCTTCATGGCTGTGGTTCTTGTAGCTTATATGACTATTGTATACGCACGTAAAAAGTATTCTGCGAGAAAACATATCTACTATCGGTTGATTCAGCTCCTTGTTACTGTTCTTGGAATACTTATGATAATTGTTCTTATGGTGTTCACACAGTTCAAGCTTCTTGATCTGTTAACGAGTTTGTTGGTCTTCCTTCCCACTGGGTGGGGTGTTCTTTTGATTGCCCAATTGTTCCGAACCATTTTGGAGAAAGCTAAGTTGTGGGAGACTGTTGTCTCGATTGCTCGCATGTACGATATGATGTTTGGGATGATTGTTTTGGCACCGGTGGCTGCTTTATCATGGTTTCCGGGGTCACAGTCGATGCAAACCAGAATCCTTTTCAATGAAGCATTTAGTAGGGGTTTGGGATATGCGAAATGGTTGTTGAAAGGGAAACCAAAACTTAAACAACGATTCCAGGTAATAAATCTGGAATTCTTCAAGTCTTTATAATTCTATAATATTTACTTCTTTATATATCTTGCTACAACATAATGTTGGTTAATGACCTGTGATATTTTATTTCTGTTGCAGGATTGATGCATCTTTTATATTGTGTGACGACTTTTGTGTTTGTCTTGTCGGGCAATATGGCATTCCTTCTATGTTTTGCATTATTATATGTCAAAGTGTGCTTGTGTTTGTAAAATAATTAACATCTGATTTCATGAAAATGTTAGTACTTTAGAAGATCAAAACTAAAGTTATCTGTTAATTATTATTCTGATTGTTTTATGTAATTTGAGGTTTTCTTTCATCTCCCTCCTACTAAAATTAATGGGTGGTGACTGGTGAGCATAGCATGGTTCCTGCCATACTACCTTTACTTGCTGGTAGCCACCTCCAAATGCTGAGCAAAGGCCATCCATAGCTGAAGCTTTCAAAACATATGCAGTAGCATGACTCCATTATTTCCAAGCCACATGCAAGTCTTGCTCCTTATTTTAATGATACTTATAATAATATATCACACATTTTAAGTTTATTATTACATTTTTATCTATCATATTATATTATATATGTATATAAATAATTAAATATGTATTAATAAAGACACTAAAGAATCTCTTAAATTATACTTTATTATTACCAAGGTGCGCATGTAAAACATAAACGATTAATATATAATATTTTTTTTTTTATAAATGAAATAACAAACAATGTTTAAATTTTAAGATATTTCTTATTTTTAAATAATAAAAAATATATTTGTATTGATGTAGAAGTTTATTGCAGAATTAACATCACATATTTAATTAAAAGATGAGTTTGGCCTAATTAAATACCATTTAGCTACAAGTCGTTAAAACTCCCTACCAAATGATTGAGTTATATGGAATGGTGATAATGTTTTCTCTAGCGTTTGTCGCAACTTTCTAACAAAAGTGCAAGGACTATAGGGCATGGGAGCATCTCACTTTTCCTCACTTCCATTTATTTAAGACATCTTAACGCCAAATCACTTCCCGTTGTCCTCTTACTATTTTCTTTTTCACCTAGGAAAATGATTGTCATGTTCCCACGAAATGACATAATAATGTCTTCTTTATTTGTATCGTATAGAATATGTATTCATAAAACTGAATTGTAACACATATTTTATTCAAAAACACTCACATTAAATAAATATTTGTTACAGAGGTAGGGGTCGTGTGAGATGGGCATCATTGGAGTAATGCAGCATTGGAAGAGAAAGGTGTTGCAGCTGGAGGACAAAAATGTTGGGTGAGGATGTCATTCCACGTTTGACGAGTGTATGCAAAGGGCAAGCCTGTCAAATATCACTACTAGAAACCGAGGTCTCGACGAACAATACTATTGCTAAAGGCTATCAACGACGGATGAGTGATGAAATTGTCAGTTGAGAAAACCCTTGCCACTAATTGTCAGCGACGGAATAACGATGACACAAATTACTCAAGGAGCCTCTAGATTTTTTCTTTATTTGTCACTGATGTACGTTGCTAATCAATTGGTATTATTAGTAAATAGAAAATTTTTCTTGTTTAACGATAATGTACTAGGCATCGAATATGTCGATATTCAAGAACAAGACTTCACAAATGTAATTCAAAATAAAAACATCAACATTTAGTTACAAAAAAAAATATTAAAATTTGGTCAGCAAAATAAAAATTCATGTTCGATTTCAATGTATCGAAACCAAGTTTACACCTAATTAAACACCAATTCATATTATTTTGTTAATAGCAGCATACTTTCTATTTAACAAAAAAGAAATATAAACGATTAACCATAGACCTCAAGAAATCAATCATGCTCAACCCAAGAAGATTCGAAGTTTTTGTAACATTGTTGTAAAGTCCCATTTTACAACCAAAAAATTTCACTTTTATTAAGGTAAAACTCCACAATATAAAATCCATATTAAGAAAACCATTTGTTCCGAATTACATTTGTTGAAAATCAGAGTAATATAATAACGCGAAATCTTCATTGCTGCTGATGAATGTGTACAGTCTCGCCTTCATCTTCCCATGACGACCGGTGATAGCGGAAAACAATAACAATTTGGTAAGCACGAAGCTTAGTGAGTTCCCCGAAATACCTCACACAACAAACATACAAGCATGCATATCGGGTCCTTAGTAAACGAACTGGAATACACCCGACCTATAATCTCCCGATTGGATTACCCCGAGTTTGTTGTCTTGCCACCTCAACCCAATCGCTCCTCTTAAGTCTCCATACCTACGACTTACAGTTAGCATGTACCTGGTATCTTGGCCTACAACAGATAGCAGGACTGCCTCAATCTCATCCACCACCATATGTCAACATATAAACAACCAAAGATCAAGTATGCACATAATACAAGCAATCATCAATCAAACAGCTCAGTACCATTTACTAGACCCCTCACCGCACACTACTCCGCTACCAACTAATCTTCATGGAATGCATAGCCATATGTAAACAGACGTGAGATAGTCACCCGAGCAAATGATCATTTTCTAGAGCCACAGCAAAACAAGAAACATTCTAGAAATCCTAGATCAAGAGTTCTCAAGCTATCCTACATGACTACATATATCCCCTAGAGCACTGCACTAGATAATAACCAATCTATGTGTACTCTAACAAGCGTACAACTACTACTACATCTTATCACACAAGGATATATATATATATATATATATATATATATATATATATATATAAATCTAGCAGATCACTACAACACAACAACATCCTATACATAAGGATACATAACCAACTCTCCAAGGAATGCATAACTATATACACCCAGGGGTGAGATAAAGACCCGAACAGGTGATACTACACTAGAGCCCCAACCTGTAACATCCTGATTTTCAGGTATTATTATATTTCTTGTATCTTTATTATAAATGGCACTTTTGGTCCCTTGTAAGAAAAGCCTTATGACTCTAGTCGTATGTTGGGCATACGTAAGGGTAAGCGCAGTGTACCCATGCAGAGTATGGATAGCGAGTAGCTAGCTAGTACGTTTGGTGTACATATGGTACACTTGGCGTACTAGCCCATACTCGAAAACCCTAATTTCTTGGTTGTTCACTATATGAAGAACATTAAGTCCCCTTTTTGGTCACCCTTATTAGCCTCCAAACCTTCCTAAATCCTAATCCCGAGTTTGAGTGTTGTATGAGACTTGCAAGCTCATTTGGGTGTTTTTGGTGCATTTAGTTGAAGAGGGAAGCTAGTGAAGAAGAAGAAGGTGTTAGCAAGCTTGTAGATCTAGAAAACTTCCCTCCTTGTTTATCATTTTCATGCGGAGTCTAGATCCAATAGTTCGGGTGCTAGGTTTTTCGTGTCATCAATATCAGGTGAATCTCCTCACTTACTCTTACATGTATTGTAGGATAGTTGTATTATGATTACCAGCTGGGTCTAGCTTTTGTGATAATTATGTGTTCTATACATACATACATACATACATACATACATACATACATACATATATATATATATATACATATATATATAAACACCCACACAAATGCTTACATATAATACTACTTTATTATGTTTTTATAGGTGGTAATGATCCTGATTGGGTACGTACTTTCCTGTTTGAAAGGTTATGTGGTCTAAGTATTGTTTTTTCAATTAAGATTGACCATTACAATTTGGGGCCACAATATGTGCATCGTTTCACGGTTACTAAATACCATGGTGCAATTTGTAAAATTCCAAACCAAGAAAAGACGTCGCCTACAAATCAGGTCATTTTTGTTGCAAACAATTGTTGTCGAATCATTGCTGTCTATATTATTTGCATCAACGATAAATTTTATTCACTACAAGAAAAAAGGGTATTACCGGCGACAAAAATCGCTGCTATTGCTCACAAAAGTCGCCGCTAATACCTTTGCTGGCGACACGTCGCCGCTACTGCTTTATCGCTATTGCTCAAAAAGTCGCCGCTAATGCTTACCGTCGCCGCTAATTATATGGTATACGTAAGGGTAAGCGCAGTGTATCCATGCAGAGTATGGATCGCGAGTAGCCAGCTAGTACGTTTGGTGTACATATGGTACATTGGGCGTACTAGCCCATACTCGAAAACCCTAATTTCTTGGTTGTTCACTATATGAAGAACATTAAGTCCCCTTTTTGGTCACCCTTATTAGCCTCCAAACCTTCCTAAATCCTAATCCCGAGTTTGAGTGTTGTATGAGACTTGCAAGCTCATTTGGGTGTTTTTGGTGCATTTAGTTGAAGAGGGAAGCTAGTGAAGAAGAAGAAGGTGTTAGCAAGCTTGTAGATCAAGAAAACTTCCCTCCTTGTTTATCGTTTTCATGCAGAGTCTAGATCCAATAGTTCGAGTGCTAGGTTTTTCGTGTCATCAATATCAGGTGAATATCCTCACTTACTCTTACATGTATTGTAGGATAGTTGTATTATGATTACCAGCTGGGTCTAGCTTTTGTGATAATTATGTGTTCTATACATACATACATACATACATACATACATGCATACATACATACATACATACATATATATATATATATATATATATATATCTATAGAAACACCCACACAAATGCTTACATATAATACTACTTTATTATGTTTTTATAGGTGGTAATGATCCTGATTGGGTACGTACTTTCCTGTTTGAAAGGTTATGTGGTCTAAGTATTGCTTTTTCAATTAAGATTGACCATTACAATTTGGGGCCACAATATGTGCATCGTTTCACGGTTACTAAATACCATGGTGCAATTTGTAAAATTCCAAACCAAGAAAAGACGTCGCCTACAAATCAGGTCATTTCTGTTGCAAACAATTGTTGTCGAATCATTGCTGTCTATATTATTTGCATCAACGATAAATTTTATTCACTACAAGAAAAAAGGGTATTACCGGCGACAAAAATCGCCGCTATTGCTCACAAAAGTCACCGCTAATACCTTTGCCGGCGACACGTCGCCGCTATTGAGTCGCCGCTACTGCTTTATCGCTATTGCTCAAAAAGTCGCCGCTAATGCTTACCGTCGCCGCTAATATGTATCGCCGCTAATGATATGGTATACGTAAGGGTAAGCGCAGTGTACCCATGCAGAGTATGGATCGCGAGTAGCCAGCTAGTACGTTTGGTGTACATATGGTACACTGGGCGTACTAGCCCATACTCGAAAACCCTAATTTCTTGGTTGTTCACTATATGAAGAACATTAAGTCCCCTTTTTGGTCACCCTTATTAGCCTCCAAACCTTCCTAAATCCTAATCCCGAGTTTGAGTGTTGTATGAGACTTGCAAGCTCATTTGGGTGTTTTTGGTGCATTTAGTTGAAGAGGGAAGCTAGTGAAGAAGAAGAAGGTGTTAGCAAGCTTGTAGATCAAGAAAACTTCCCTCCTTGTTTATCATTTTCATGTAGAGTCTAGATCCAATAGTTCGAGTGCTAGGTTTTTCGTGTCATCAATATCAGGTGAATATCCTCACTTACTCTTACATGTATTGTAGGATAGTTGTATTATGATTACCAGCTGGGTCTAGCTTTTGTGATAATTATGTGTTCTATACATACATACATACATACATACATATATATATATATATATATATATATATAGAAACACCCACACAAATGCTTACATATAATACTACTTTATTATGTTTTTATAGGTGGTAATGATCCTGATTAGGTACGTACTTTCCTGTTTGAAAGGTTATGTGGTCTAAGTGTTGTTTTTTCAATTAAGATTGACCATTACAATTTGGGGCCACAATATGTGCATCGTTTCACGGTTACTAAATACCATGGTGCAATTTGTAAAATTCCAAACCAAGAAAAGACGTCGCCTACAAATCAGGTCATTTCTGTTGCAAACAATTGTGTTCGAATCATTGCTGTCTATATTATTTGCATCAACCATAAATTTTATTATTGGATCTTACATTATACATTTTTTATTGTATTGTTTATATCTTATTTCACATTATGTATTTTTTTTTTTTTTTTTTGTATTTGTTTTTTTGTTTGCTTATCAAGGAGTTTGTGTTTTTGATAAGTGCAATTCTCAGGTAAATAATATTAAATTTAGAAATTATGCTACGGATCATGTTTCGTTTCATTAAATGATTTTTACTACATATTTTCTTTATTTATCTTTATTTAATATGTTCATTATTCATATTCTTTTTCGTACTAGGATGACTTACGTAATGTCAAAGATGAGGGTTTTAGTGCTTCTATGTCGGAAGTAAATCATATGGAATATAAAGATGTAAGTTATAATATTTTGTTTTGCAATTTTAATTCTGTTACATAGTGAAAATCTTCAATTGTTACTTTGTTATTGTTTTCTTTGTGTGCATACTTAGGACGAGGTGGTTTTTTCCCATTCAAACAAATGTTGTTGAATCAATATCACCTAAATCAGCAACATCAACATTAACGGTACTTTTTTTTTTTTTGTATTTTTTACTATAAATTATAAATATCAGTTATATTCCTTATATCTTATGTTTCTTTATTTATTTCACTTGCACAATTATTAGGTCATTTGTGATAATCATCATGTTGATGTTTCTGACAAGCTTATTTATAAGGTAAGTATAAGGTAAGTAATATTGATGTTTCTGACAAGCTTATTTATAAGGTAAGTAATATTGATGTTTCTGAGAAGCTTATTTATAAGATAACTAATATTGAGTTCAATAATTAATTCATACCATGTTTTCTTTCCATTGAGTTTAAATTGGTGTATATTTAGTTCAATTAAATTATTTGTTATGCTTAGAGTAAATTACACGAATGGTCCCTATGGTTTAGGGTAATTTGCACGTTTGGTCCCTAACTTAATTTTTTAACTCGGAAGGTTCATACTGTTTGTTTTTGTTATGCGTTTGGTCCATTTCTTACCTAAAAAGACTATTTTGCCCTTGATTTTTTAATTTCTTTAAATAAATACATCCCCGATCTCACCCCTTCACCTTACCTTACCTTACCTACCTCACAATTTTCCCTATTTAAATAATAATCTTTTTAGATAAGATAGGGACCAAACGTGTAACAAAAATAAACTGTAGGGACCAAGCGTGTAACAAAAACAAACAGTAGGGACCTTCCGAGTTAAAAAAATAAGTTATGAACCAAACGTGCAAATTACCCAAAACCATAAGGACCATTCATGTACTTTACTCTTATGCTTATTATTCGTCTTTTCTTTTCTCTTACTAGGATGGTTATGGTAATATGAAAGATGATGCTATTGTGGCACCCTATGTATGATGTTAGACATAGGAAATATATTTTATAATGTAAGTTATAACATTTGTTTTGTCATATGGTTTTACTTATGTTATTTTCTTATAATAAGGTTGCTTCTAATAGTAATGAAAATGATGGTGCTACAAAATATGTATCATAGGAAAAGGATGTTGAAGATAGTGACAGATGTGACAATGTATTACTAATTTTTTTTTTACTATTATTGTATATTTTTTTTAGGTTTGAAGTTTTCTTATTGTTCTTATTGATCTATTCAATTTGGTTGGTGATGATACTATTGAAGATGATATTTCTAAGACACCTATCTCCAAATGTGGTTTACAAGATGGTGGAGAAAGTAAAGTAAGTTACAACATATTGTGTACAATTTCTATTTTCCTTACGATATGGAACAAAATGTCAACCATTATTGTCACCTCATTTGATATATTTGAAGTTTTCTTATTGTTCTCATTGATCTATTCAATTAGGTTGGTGATGATACTATTGAAGATGATATGTCTAAGACACCTATCTCCATATGTGGTTTACAAGATGGTGTAGAAAGTGAAGTAAGTTTACAATGTATTGTGTACAAAATTTCAACGATTATTGACACCTCATTTGATACATTACTTTGTTAGTTATGATTCTTATTTTCCTTTTTTTTTTTACAATTAGGATGCTTGTGTTGTTATTGAAGTTGATTCTTCTGAAAAGTCATTTATCGAATCCTCAATAACACCAATGAAGTGTGGACTTCCATGATTGTGTGAGGAATCTTCATAAGATGATATTGTTAGTTGAATTCAATTCACTTTTGAAGTTTTTTGACATTGTTTTCTAGATTGTATTTCTCTTCTAATTTTGAAATTTCAGTTTCATATCATCGTAGTCCTCAGTTTTTTTATAGGTTAATTGAAATTATTAGGTAGATTAAGCTTTTTATAATAGGTTTTAGACATATTTATTATTCAATTATTTTAAATGTATGGAATGACATGGTACATTCATGTTTTTTTGTCCTTATGACGAAACACATTATTGTTGGGGTACCATATGCCAAATGATCTTACTAGGTTTTTCCAAAACATTTTACTTGGTTTGTCGTTCTGGGTGATTCTATCTAAACTAATATATAAATGAATGAAAGTAATATACAATCAGATTAAGATAAATTAATATAGTATTTATACATTTGTCAACCTTTCCACCGTATGGGTATGACACTAGTTTAAGGTGTGGTGTGCTGTTATGTTAAAGGTGTCTGCTTTAGAACACAAGAACCAAGTAAAGGGAGAGAGTCTTTGTGACATCCCCAAAATCTCGGCAAGAAAAGACCGATTTTCATTTATGCTTTTAAAATAATTTCAGAGTAAATCCTTTTGATTTGAAAGAGTTGCGGAATTTGTTCCCAAAAACAAAGTATGATAAAATAATATTTACCAAAGCATTTCATCAAGAAATGTATTTTCATTATATAATCAAAACTCGGGATATCATATTCCGATACAGACCATAAAGCATAAACGATAACATTACAAGTTGTTCAACAAATATATACATATACAGATTTGTAAACAAAACAACTTGATGATTTATCCATCTTATGCCTTTACGCTACTTCCTGTAATACAAATAAACTGAGTGGGTCAGGGTTGGGAGTCTGGTAAGCATATAGGGGTTTCAACCCACAATAAATAATTATATTTAATTCCACCAACCAACAATAACCCAATTACTCATTCCCGTTATTCTCACTTTACGTTTCTAAAACAACTAACACAAGAGACCTAGTCTTAGAATATTTCATCGGGGTGACAACACATGTATTCGGGGGTTTCCCGACAATATATGTCAAATAAGGCAACCATGAGGGGGATGGAGTACAGCGAATGAACACCCAAGTTCATTAACACCTACAGGTAGCGAACCTGCTAGCGTTCTACAGGACTGTCTAGAAAAGTATGTGGTCGTCATCTAAACTTCGCTAGATGACTGAATCAAAACAACATCGAGGCCTCTCATCTGTTTATCACACAACTATCTACCCATGTTCTACCCGACATATTAGTAGATATTAATATATATTTTTATGCATAGTTTAAAACCTGTATAACATTCTCATTCAATACATATTCCAAACAACAGATGAGACACATATACATAACACGTATTTCATAGAGAATAAATCATATCTATGAGATAGAAGAAAGTGAATATACATTCACACATATAACAACAAAATATACACATAACACGTATTTCGTATAAAATACTTCATAATTATGCGTTAGAAGAAAGTAACTACACACTCACTTGATCAGAAGATGATCGAACAACACTACGGCTTACAGAAGTAATATTCTTCGGCAGATCTGGAAGATCTTCACAAAAACCAGACTCCTCGCGGACAGAGCTTCGGCTCGGGAATGGCACTTCTCGGGATCTTCGGGGCTTCGAGACTTGCTTCGGGGCTCGGGAATGATACCGGGGCTTCGGGATAATTCTTGCACGAAAAACGATGCAAAAACGCGAGAGAAAGGGAAGAAATGAGGAAAGAACTCGGCTGCCCTCGACATCCTTTTATAGGGGGCTGGAATTTCGATTTATGTTGGGCGTAATCTGAAATTACGATGGGCGTAATGAGGATCAGCTCGCTGACTCCCCCCCTTGGATAGTATCGGATAATTTATATTTAAATTAAATATCGAAAATATTTAATAAACTTCAAAAATAATATATTCCTCATACGAACTTCGTTTTCGACGTTCTTTATATCCACGCGTAGGTGAGACTACGCTCTACAAATTTCGTTTAGACTCCGTCTGCTAATTTTGATTTATTTTTATTATTTATTTTTAGTAGGCCGGGACAGGAAAACTCCGTTATAAAATCATAACTTCTTCATCCGACGTCCGTTTTCGCCTATCTTTTCATCGTTTCACTACAATTAACGAGATATTCAATTCTCGTTTATATTGTTTCGGCTAAAAACCGCTCGATCTCAAATCGAGTATTCGGGCTACATACTGCTAAGTCGAAACTTCGAAAAATCATAACTTCCTCATACGAAGTCAGATTTGGGCGTTCTTTTTATGCACGCTATTGGTTTAACGAACTCTACGACTTTTGTTTAGATCACTAAGGCTAAATATTGCTCTAACGTAAATTTCACTTTTTACGTCATTCAGCGTTGTCGGTTCTGTCGTGAAATTTCGACAGGTCATAACTTCTTCATTATAACTCGGATTTTTGCATTCTTTATATCTTCGTAATCCTTGTTTCGACCACTAAATCTTTATGCAAAGATATCGGGCTTATCTCACACTTTAATTTTGACACTTATTTTATTCTTAATTCATTAAATTATAATAATTAAGAAAATAAACACATAATTCACATAATACTCAAATATTTCATCATTAATACTTCAAAAAGAGTTACAAGGGTTAACCTAGAATATTACATCAACAATAATGCGTAGCCTGAAAACGCGGGCGTTACAGTCTTGATCTCATCAGATATATCAACACCAATTTCGAAGGACCCTCACTCTATCCTGATGTAAGATTTCATACATAATTGAAATCAATTTCCCTAATCTTTAAAAAATAAGTTGATTCAGTCGATTATAATTACAAAACTATAATATAGGATCATCTTAAAAAAAGAATTTGGAGAAGAGTTGCTATCGTACATCGGTACATTCAATAAATCTATGACCACCTCATTCAAGGGAGATGGGATTGATGAAGCTAGTATATTTCCTTTTGAAATTAAAGGCCAATTATGAAATTTTAAAACTAAATATAATATGTAATTTGATAAATATATATAATAGCAACAACTGCTAGTTTTAATTATATTGAGAATGCTCTTTCCAAGTTTGATGATGGACCATTCTTTCTAGGTTAGTTGAGCCTAGTAAGTAGTAACATTTTTTATTCTCAATATCAAGTTCTACATGCTCAATTTCAAGGACCTTTTTATTCTCAAGGTTTACATAGTGGAGGTCAAACAACAAAATCCCAAAAAGTCAATAACCAAGATAGATATAAAGAATTTGGTGGAATTCAAGAAATGGAATGGAATATGTGAGTGGGAATCAGGATTTGGCTACTTTGGCTCCATTAGAACAAAAGATTTTGTTAGGAGATAACATGTTTGAGAAGACAAAAAATGGGCATAAAGTACTACAGTATTATTATATTTACTTTGTCTCTTCTATTATGTGTCAAGTATATCAGTGGTATTTCAATTGCAAAATTTATTGATAGAATTTGTTACCTTTAGCTATTATGCATCAAGTATATAAATGGTATTTCAATTTCAAAATGCTCATCAATCATTAACACAGGTAGATGATGACACTTTACTCTTTCTCATCAAGTTATCAAACTAGTCAACAGGAATCTATAATATACAACTATTAGATTCTTCATCAAAAAGGAAATCATAAATTTATAGGAACTTCAATTTTCAGTTGATACTTTCTCTTGCTTATACTTACTAATAGCTAGGGTAAGAATATTAGAAATGCGGCAACTAAACAACGTTGCTGGAGGTGAATCTAGCTTTGTGAATATATTTTTATATAACAAAATACATGTAAACTTTTATGTGTAATAAATACATGGAATTTCAAAGGCAACTAAATTTCATCAGCCTACCAATTAAGGTGTTAGTGATCAGATTTTGTGTTGGTCGACATAAAATAAAGTTTTTCTTTTTCATATATGCTTAAAGAATCCATAATTATCGGAGCTCTAACAATTTGTCCTCTTAATGAATCCTCATACACAAAAATACAATTGACTCAGATGAGTTATACCAAAGACATTCTCATCTAACCCTGAATAATCTGATCACCTAGCTAATGTGCAACTTATGAGTATATACAAATGATATGCTTCCACTTTAACAATGCATTATGCTATGTAATCAGTCGCAATGAAAAATAGAAAGAGAAGCATGGAACATGAGACACTAAGATAATATTGTGCCCAACTGTTCTGCTGAAAAATTATGTGAACACGAGAGGTTATGGATGTTTTGTTGGCCTGAAAGACAAAGACTCATGTTGCTCGGTTTAACTGGCAGTTAGACAAATTCTGAATCAATATCCATATCAATTGAAACGTCCCGTTCTTCAAACTCCAGTAAAATACAAAAAGGGTTCTATCAGACATTAAACACTAACGATTCAAGGTGATTCGTGTATGTAATGCTAAGAGATAAGAGGGATGATGATTGAAAAAGAAAAAATGGGGAAATTGAACCCTAACGAAGTATATTATGCAATTGAACTAGAACTAACCTAATATATGACTATAGCAAATAAAATCAAGAGATTTACTTGAATCGGAAGTTAAGAATACTTTCAGATTAAAAAATGTGGGGGTTGCCGGAATCGGAAGCTGCAATGGTGAGTAGTATCGTTATCTGTTCGAACAGAGATGGTGAGATAAAGCAGAACCAAAATTGGGTTAACAGATTGAAAGGAACTTACTGTGCTAAAGCTGGAGGAAGGAAACTTACATTACCTCCGTGAAAATGGAATTGGGTTGCACCAATTTCCGTGAGAGATTGGCGATAGAAAAAAAAAAAGCGGATACCCCAAATATTGTTTATGTCGTCGTTCTCTCGCTAAATGCGTACCGGATGACACAATTTTTTTATCCCTTGTTGAACGCTAACTAAGTGCCTTCATTTTCGACTGATTAGCGAGGAATAGTAGTGCATCGATATATACTTGCGAGATCCGTAGTTGAGCCCTCGGTAAATCCTCATTAATATTTCATATGTTAAATAAATAAAATAATTATAAAAAACATAGTAGATCTATGGTAATTCCCTAGCTATAACTCTAAATGTTGCTAGAGAATAAATCCATAGCAAAATCCTTAACTTAAAGTCAAGTTTCTACTAGTTATATACACATTCAAATTCAAATAATTTATAATCTAGGACCACTGCAACTTGATAATATAATATAGTTTAGTTCAAATTAAATTGGAATCCAGTGTTGGGTACTTTGTATTTTAATGGTAGACTTGGTAGTGCATGCACATGGATATCATTTGTTTGTAATTCTAATATACAATTGGTGTGATGGCCCCACCTCATGCTTTGCAAATCATTTCTGTGGAATGTAAAAACCTTGCATTCACATGTCTCGTCTCAAACTAAAAAATTGAACTTCGATCGCACGATATGACTCGCACGCAGCGCCGTCCGCCGTCTAACCGCTCACCGGATACACACCCAATATCTGAAATTACGATGGGCGTAATGAGGATCAGCTCGCTGACTCCCCCCCTTGGATAGTATCGGATAATTTATATTTAAATTAAATATCGAAAATATTTAATAAACTTCAAAAATCATATATTCCTCATACGAACTTCGTTTTCGACGTTCTTTATATCCACGCGTAGGTGAGACTACGCTCTACAACTTTCGTTTAGACTCCGTCTGCTAATTTTGATTTATTTTTATTATTTATTTTTAGTAGGCCGGGACAGGAAAACTCCGTTATAAAATCATAACTTCTTCATCCGACGTCCGTTTTCGCCTATCTTTTCATCGTTTCACTACAATTAATGAGATATTCAATTCTCGTTTAGATTGTTTCGGCTAAAAACCGCTCGATCTCAAATCGAGTATTCGGGCTACATACTGCTAAGTCGAAACTTCGAAAAATCATAACTTCCTCATACGAAGTCAGATTTGGGCGTTCTTTTTATGCACGCTATTGGTTTAACGAACTCTACGACTTTTGTTTAGATCACTAAGGCTAAATATTGCTCTAACGTAAATTTCACTTTTTACGTCATTCAGCGTTGTCGGTTCTGTCGTGAAATTTCGACAGGTCATAACTTCTTCATTATAACTCGGATTTTTGCATTCTTTATATCTTCGTAATCCTTGTTTCGACCACTAAATCTTTATGCAAAGATATCGGGCTTATCTCACACTTTAATTTTGACACTTATTTTATTCTTAATTCATTAAATTATAATAATTAAGAAAATAAACACATAATTCACATAATACTCAAATATTTCATCATTAATACTTCAAAAAGAGTTACAAGGGTTAACCTAGAATATTACATCAACAATAATGCGTAGCCTGAAAACGCGGGCGTTACAGTCTTGATCTCATCAGATATATCAACACCAATTTCGAAGGACCCTCACTCTATCCTGATGTAAGATTTCATACATAATTGAAATCAATTTCCCTAATCTTTAAAAGAATAAGTTGATTCAGTCGATTATAATTACAAAACTATAATATAGGATCATCTTAAAAAAAGAATTTGGAGAAGAGTTGCTATCGTACATCGGTACATTCAATAAATCTATGACCACCTCATTCAAGGGAGATGGGATTGATGAAGCTAGTATATTTCCTTTTGAAATTAAAGGCCAATTATGAAATTTTAAAACTAAATATAATATGTAATTTGATAAATATATATAATAGCAACAACTGCTAGTTTTAATTATATTGAGAATGCTCTTTCCAAGTTTGATGATGGACCATTCTTTCTAGGTTAGTTGAGCCTAGTAAGTAGTAACATTTTTTATTCTCAATATCAAGTTCTACATGCTCAATTTCAAGGACCTTTTTATTCTCAAGGTTTACATAGTGGAGGTCAAACAACAAAAGCCCAAAAAGTCAATAACCAAGATAGATATAAAGAATTTGGTGGAATTCAAGAAATGGAATGGAATATGTGAGTGGGAATCAGGATTTGGCTACTTTGGCTCCATTAGAACAAAAGATTTTGTTAGGAGATAACATGTTTGAGAAGACAAAAAATGGGCATAAAGTACTACAGTATTATTATATTTACTTTGTCTCTTCTATTATGTGTCAAGTATATCAGTGGTATTTCAATTGCAAAATTTATTGATAGAATTTGTTACCTTTAGCTATTATGCATCAAGTATATAAATGGTATTTCAATTTCAAAATGCTCATCAATCATTAACACAGGTAGATGATGACACTTTACTCTTTCTCATCAAGTTATCAAACTAGTCAACAGGAATCTATAATATACAACTATTAGATTCTTCATCAAAAAGGAAATCATAAATTTATAGGAACTTCAATTTTCAGTTGATACTTTCTCTTGCTTATACTTACTAATAGCTAGGGTAAGAATATTAGAAATGCGGCAACTAAACAACGTTGCTGGAGGTGAATCTAGCTTTGTGAATATATTTTTATATAACAAAATACATGTAAACTTTTATGTGTAATAAATACATGGAATTTCAAAGGCAACTAAATTTCATCAGCCTACCAATTAAGGTGTTAGTGATCAGATTTTGTGTTGGTCGACATAAAATAAAGTTTTTCTTTTTCATATATGCTTAAAGAATCCATAATTATCGGAGCTCTAACAATTTGTCCTCTTAATGAATCCTCATACACAAAAATACAATTGACTCAGATGAGTTATACCAAAGACATTCTCATCTAACCCTGAATAATCTGATCACCTAGCTAATGTGCAACTTATGAGTATATACAAATGATATGCTTCCACTTTAACAATGCATTATGCTATGTAATCAGTCAATGAAAAATAGAAAGAGAAGCATGGAACATGAGACACTAAGATAATATTGTGCCCAACTGTTCTGCTGAAAAATTATGTGAACACGAGAGGTTATGGATGTTTTGTTGGCCTGAAAGACAAAGACTCATGTTGCTCGGTTTAACTGGCAGTTAGACAAATTCTGAATCAATATCCATATCAATTGAAACGTCCCGTTCTTCAAACTCCAGTAAAATACAAAAAGGGTTCTATCAGACATTAAACACTAACGATTCAAGGTGATTCGTGTATGTAATGCTAAGAGATAAGAGGGATGATGATTGAAAAAGAAAAAATGGGGAAATTGAACCCTAACGAAGTATATTATGCAATTGAACTAGAACTAACCTAATATATGACTATAGCAAATAAAATCAAGAGATTTACTTGAATCGGAAGTTAAGAATACTTTCAGATTAAAAAGTGTGGTGGTTGCCGGAATCGGAAGCTGCAATGGTGAGTAGTATCGTCATCTGTTCGAACAGAGATGGTGAGATAAAGCAGAACCAAAATTGGGTTAACAGATTGAAAGGAACTTACTGTGCTAAAGCTGGAGGAAGGAAACTTACATTACCTCCGTGAAAATGGAATTGGGTTGCACCAATTTCCGCGAGAGATTGGCGATAGAAAAAAAAAAAAAAAGCGGATACCCCAAATATTGTTTATGTCGTCGTTCTCTCGCTAAATGCGTACCGGATGACACAATTTTTTTATCCCTTGTTGAACGCTAACTAAGTGCCTTCATTTTCGACTGATTAGCGAGGAATAGTAGTGCATCGATATATACTTGCGAGATCCGTAGTTGAGCCCTCGGTAAATCCTCATTAATATTTCATATGTTAAATAAATAAAATAATTATAAAAAACATAGTAGATCTATGGTAATTCCCTAGCTATAACTCTAAATGTTGCTAGAGAATAAATCCATAGCAAAATCCTTAACTTAAAGTCAAGTTTCTACTAGTTATATACACATTCAAATTCAAATAATTTATAATCTAGGACCACTGCAACTTGATAATATAATATAGTTTAGTTCAAATTAAATTGGAATCCAATGTTGGGTACTTTGTATTTTAATGGTAGACTTGGTAGTGCATGCGCATGGATATCATTTGTTTGTAATTCTAATATACAATTGGTGTGATGGCCCCACCTCATGCTTTGCAAATCATTTCTGTGGAATGTAAAAACCTTGCATTCACATGTCTCGTCTCAAACTAAAAAATTGAACTTCGATCGCACGATATGACTCGCACGCAGCGCCGTCCGCCGTCTAACCGCTCACCGGATACACACCCAATATCTGATGAAACAACCTATAACATAATCCCATTAAACAATTTACAAGCTGATCACCCATCCCTCCGTTTCCCAGAAGTGCATGCTGCCATCGCTGCTCTAAAGGCTGGCGATCCTGACCTCCCAATACCACCCTATATCCAACTGCAATCCAACTATGACCTCCTGGACTGGCTTGGCGCCTTGTTCGGATTCCAACATCACAATGTGTTAAACCAGCGGGAGCACCTGGTTCTCCACCTCGCAAACGCCCAGATGCGGCTGCAGCCACTACAGGATAATATCCTCACCCTCGACCCGGCGGTGCTAAGCGGATTTCGTGTTGATCTGCTCAGAAACTACACGCACTGGTGCTCCTTCCTCGGCCATAATTCCTGCATCCAAGGTACCAGCCGAGACCTTCTGTATGTTGCACTCTATCTACTCATTTGGGGCGAGGCAGCGAATCTACGGTTCATGCCTGAGTGTATCTGTTATATATTTCATCATATGGCTGAGGAGATGAATAAAATTCTGGTTGGTTCCATCGATACGAACACTGGTAGGCTTGTGTTGCCCACTGTATCTGGGGAAAACGCATTTCTGAATTGCATTGTGAAACCAATTTACTGTACTGTCAAGGCGGAGGTAGCAAACAGTAATAACGGCACAGAACCACATTTAAATTGGCGGAATTACGATGATATCAACGAGTACTTTTGGAGTAGAAGATGTTTTGAGAATTTGAAATGGCCTATGGAACCTGGGAGCGATTTCTTCGTCACAAATAGGAAAAGAAAGAGGGTAGGGAAGATGGGTTTCATTGAGCAGAGATCCTTTCTGAACCTGTTAAGATGCTTCGATAGGTTGTGGACTATGTTGTTCCTCTATCTACAGGCTGCCATTATTGTTGCCTGGAAAGATCCAAACGTTCTTCCATGGCAATCTTTAAAAGACAAAGACGTTCAAGAAAAGCTTTTGAGTGTATTCATAACCTGGAGTTCCATGAGGTTTCTGAGAGCTCTTCTTGATGTTATGATGCAGTATAAACTGGTTTCCAGAGAGGCTTTATGGCTCGGTGCAAGAATGGCGTTGAAGATCATTGTTTCGATTGTTTGGATAGTTGTTTTTGCCACGTTGTTTGCTAGAATTTGGAGTCAGAAAAAGAAGGATCTGGGTGTCTCGGATAATTACATTAAGGAAGTGGTAATTTTCATCACGGCAGCGTTGGTGTTCATCCTCCCACAAGTATTAGCACAAGTCCTCTTTTTTCTTCCAGTACCTAGTTGCTTAACCCAGACTACCAACTGGAGAATCTTTTACCTGATAACGTGGTGGTTTCAGACTAAAGCTTTTGTGGGTCGGGGACTCAGGGAAGGTTGGATGGATAGGATGAAGTATTGTATGTTCTGGGTTGTGGTTCTTGCCACAAAGTTCTATTTTAGTTACTTCTTGCAGATAAAACCAATGATTCAACCCACTAAAGACCTCTTACACCACCACTCCAAGGTCACATCCGGATGGCAACACCTCTTTTGTAAAAGCAACAGGTTTGTAGTAAGCCTTATCTGGCTACCAGTTGTATTGATCTATTTGATGGACTTACAAATCTGGTACTCCATTTATTCTTCATTTGTGGGTGCGGGAGTTGGTTTGTTTAGCAATTTGGGTGAGATCCGCTACATGCAACAACTGAGGTTGAGGTTTCAGTTTTTTGCGGGTGCAATACGATACAATCTCATGCCAGTCGAGGAGTTGGTAGCTACTAGCCACTTGAATATTCAATCTCTATGGAGCATGGCTAGAGATCGCGTTCATCAATGGTGTTTAAGGTGGTGTTGTCTTGGCATTCCTTTGAAGAAAATTGAATCAAACCAAGTCCAGGCCTACAAATTTGCCGCGATATGGAATGAAATAGTTTTGAATTTTCGAAAAGAAGACATTGTTAGTGACGAGGAAGTCGAGCTTCTTGAGATGCCACAGGATACTCATAATGGTAGTAGTGTCCGAATTAGGTGGCCGTGTTTTCTGCTTTATAAGGAGTTATATCTCGCTGTCTGCCAGGCAAAAGAGTTGGGTGATGCAGGAGACGAGAGGTTATGGCATAAGATTGGAAAGAATGTGTACAGACGTTGTACCGTTTTAGAAACTTACGACAGTGTCAAGAATCTGCTGCTCAAGTCAATATTAGCGGAGAGAACGCAAGAACTCTCAATTCTCGAAAATCTGTTTGAAGAAATCGATAACTCGATTACGAACCATAAGTTTACTAATACGTTTAACATGTCCGCCCTTCCCATCATTCAAGAGAAACTGATCACGCTTGTCGATCTGTTGATCATAAAGTCAGCCGAGAAAGATGTTAAGAAAGTGGTTAGCACGCTAAGGGGACTTTATGTGTTTGTCGTAAGGGATTTCTTCAAACCTAAAGGCACCATGGAGAAGCTAAAACAGGATGGCTTGGATCCCGACAGCCTATTCCAGAATGCGGTCAGGTTGCCCAATCCAAACGATGACAACTTCTTTCGGCGGGCTCGGCGGCTCCACTCAATTCTTACATCCCCCAACATTCTGAACAATATTCCGGTAAATATGGAGGCCAGGAGAAGACTTGCGTTCTTCAGTAATTCATTGTTTATGAACATGCCTCACGCTCCCCGAGTTGAGAAGATGATGGCTTTCAGTGTCTTGACACCTTACTACAATGAAGATGTAGTGTACAAAAAAGAACAACTTTTAACCGAAAACGAAGATGGTGTTTCCATTCTTTACTATCTGAAGACTGTGTATGCTGATGAATGGGCCAACTTTTTGCAGCGAATGAGCCCGGAAGAGCTTGTCACAGAGGAGCAGCTGTGGACTAAAAACCCTAACGATCTTCGGCTTTGGGCATCATATAGAGGCCAGACGCTTGCACGCACAGTAAGGGGAATGATGAACAATTATCGGGTACTCCAAGAGCTAAACTCGCTTGATGCTGTATCTGAGAAAGACATTGGTGAAGGAGCAACGAAATTCATTCATTCTAGACGTCCACGGCTTCGTCACATACTGCAGGAGAATTTAGATGATGACACTTTGACTAGAGGCCATAAAAGTGGAATGGAACTGATGAAATACACGTACGTAATTGCCTGTCAGATGTACGGGACCCAAAAGGCGCAAAGGGATCCCCGTGCAGAAGATATTTTGTATTTGATGAAAGAAAACGAAGCTCTTCGCGTGGCCTTTGTTGATGAGGTGTCCACAAAACATGGAATGGAGTATTATTCTGTTCTCGTCAAGTATGATTGGAATTTGGAAAAAGAAGTTGAAATTTATCGGGTACGGTTACCGGGTCCTTTGAAGCTTGGCGAAGGAAAGCCCGAGAATCAGAATCATGCACTCATTTTTACTCGGGGAGATGCGGTTCAGACCATTGACATGAATCAGGACAACTATTACGAGGATGCCCTGAAAATGAGGAATTTACTTGAGGAGTTCAAAGTTACGTACGGTGTTCATAAGCCACAAATTTTGGGAGTTAGGGAACATGTCTTTACGGGTTCTGTCTCTTCCCTTGCTTGGTTCATGTCGGCTCAAGAAACAAGCTTTGTAACCTTGGGTCAGCGTGTTTTAGCAAACCCTTTGAAAATCCGGTTTCATTATGGGCATCCAGATGTGTTTGATAGATTTTGGTTCTTAACTCGTGGTGGAATCAGTAAAGCATCAAGACCAATCAACTTAAGCGAGGACATTTTTGCTGGTTTTAACTGCACCTTAAGAGGGGGAAACGTGACTCACCATGAGTACATACAAGTCGGAAAAGGAAGGGATGTCGGGTTAAACCAAGTATCCATGTTCGAAGCAAAAGTTGCAAGCGGGAACGGCGAGCAACTTCTTAGTAGAGACGTTTACAGATTGGGCCATATGCTCGATTTTTTCAGAATGCTTTCGTTTTTCTACACAACAGTTGGGTTCTTTTTCAACACCATGATGGTTACGTTAGCCGTATATGCGTTTTTGTGGGGTCAGTTATATCTTGCGTTGACTGGGATGGAGAATGTTGTAGAGGGCAATTCTAGCACAACCAACGCTTTGACTACCGTTCTAAACCAGCAGTTTCTTGTGCAGCTTGGTCTTCTCAGTGTCTTGCCCATGATCTTCGAAAACACTCTTGAGTTCGGATTTCTTACAGCCTTATGGGATTTCATAATAATGCAGCTACAACTTTCGTCTGTATTCTACACATTCTCTGTCGGAACTCGTTCTCATTACTTTGGTCGAACAATCCTTCACGGTGGAGCAAAATACCGTGCCACAGGGCGTGGCTTTGTGGTGCATCACACCAGTTTCGCTGACAACTACAGACTCTACGCTCGTAGTCATTTCATAAAGGCGATTGAACTTGGTTTGATCCTAATCGTTTATGTTGTGTATAGCCCTGTTACTAAAGGAACACTTGCCTACACTGCGTTGACCCTTTCAAGTTGGTTCCTTGTGGTTTCATGGATCATGGCACCATTTGTATTCAACCCTTCTGGGTTCGATTGGTTAAAAACAGTTAATGATTATTACGACTTCATGAACTGGATACAGTTTCGAGGAATAGTGTTTGAAAACCCTGAACAGAGCTGGGAAAAGTGGTGGTATGAGGAACAAGATCATCTGAGAACAACTGGTGTATATGGAAAGTGTTTGGAGATTATTTTGGATTTACGGTTTTTCTATTTCCAGTATGGAATGGTTTATAAGTTGGGTATTGCTGCCGGTAGCAAAAAGATTGATGCCTACTTACTTTCCTGGATCTACATGGTTGTGGTTCTTGTGGCCCATTTGATTATTGTATATCATTGTAAAAAGTATTCTGCGAGAGAACATACCTACTATCGGTTGATTCAGTTCGCTGTTAGTGTTCTTGGAATACTTATAATAATTGTTCTTATGGTGTTCACACAGTTCAAGCTTCTTGATCTGTTAACGAGTTTGTTGGTCTTCCTTCCCACTGGGTGGGGTGTTCTTTTGATTGCCCAATTGTTCCGAACCATTTTGGAGAAAGCTAAGTTGTGGGAGACTGTTGTCTCGATTGCTCGCATGTACGATATGATGTTTGGGATGATTGTTTTGGCACCGGTGGCTGCTTTATCATGGTTTCCGGGGTCACAGTCGATGCAAACCAGAATCCTTTTCAATGAAGCATTTAGTAGGGGTTTGGGATATGCGAAATGGTTGTTGAAAGGGAAACCAAAACTTAAACAACGATTCCAGGTAATAAATCTGGAATTCTTCAAGTCTTTATAATTCTATAATATTTACTTCTTTATATATCTTGCTACAACATAATGTTGGTTAATGACCTGTGATATTTTATTTCTGTTGCAGGATTGATGCATCTTTTATATTGTGTGACGACTTTTGTGTTTGTCTTGTCGGGCAATATGGCATTCCTTCTATGTTTTGCATTATTATATGTCAAAGTGTGCTTGTGTTTGTAAAATAATTAACATCTGATTTCATGAAAATGTTAGTACTTTAGAAGATCAAAACTAAAGTTATCTGTTAATTATTATTCTGATTGTTTTATGTAATTTGAGGTTTTCTTTCATCTCCCTCCTACTAAAATTAATGGGTGGTGACTGGTGAGCATAGCATGGTTCCTGCCATACTACCTTTACTTGCTGGTAGCCACCTCCAAATGCTGAGCAAAGGCCATCCATAGCTGAAGCTTTCAAAACATATGCAGTAGCATGACTCCATTATTTCCAAGCCACATGCAAGTCTTGCTCCTTATTTTAATGTTACATTTTAAGTTTATTATTATATTTTTATCTATCATATTATATTATCTATATATATACAAAAAATATATTTATAATGACACTAAAGATTCTTTCAAATTATAACTTTATTATTATCAAGGTGCGCATGTAAAACATAAACGATTAATATATACTAATATTTTTTTATAAATGAATACACATTAATGTTTAAATTTTAAGATATTTTTCATTTTTAAATGATAAAATATATATTTGTATTGACGTAAAAGTTTATTGTAGAAGTAACATAACATATTTAAAAGATTAGTTTGGCCTAATTAACACCACTTAGCTAAAAGTCGGTAAAAGTACTGCCTACGAAATGATCGAGCTATATAGAATAATCATACTGTTTTCTACGGCGTCTCATATTTTGTCGCAACTTTCTAACAAATTTGCAAGGACTATAGGGCATGGGAGCATCTCACTTTTCCTCACCTCATTTTATTGAAGACATCTTAACACCACACACTTCTCGTTATCCTCTCACCTTTTCCTTTTTCATCTAGGAATAGGTTTCCCATGTTCCCACAAAATGACATGATAATGTCTTCTTTATCTATACCATATAGAGTATATATTTATAAAACAAATTTGTAGCACATACATTAATCAAAAACACCCGCATTAAATAAATAGTTGTTACAGAGGTAGGGGTCACATGAGGAAGGCTGGGCATCATTAGAGTAAGTTAATCTGTTAATGTTGGAAGAGAATGGTTCTTGCAGTGGGAGGACGAAAGTGTTGGGTGAGGGTCGTTCAACGTTTGGCGAGTGAAGAGTGAAGAAGGAAGAAGGAGCAAGTGTAGGCAAAGGGCAAGCCTGTCAAATATCACTACTAGAAACTGAGGTCTCAACGGACAATTCCGTTGCTAAAGACTATCAACGACGGATCAGCGATAGAATTGTCACTCCAGAAAACCTTTGTCGCTAATTGCCAGCGACAGAAAAGCAATGACACAAATAACTCAAGGACCCTCTAGATTTTGCCATTATCCGTCACTGATTTACATCGCTTACTTCCTTTCCTGGATCTACATGGTTGTGGTTCTTGTGGCCCATTTGATTATTGTATACGCATGTAAAAAGTATTCTGCGGGAAAAGATATCTACTATTGGTTGCTTCAGTTCCTTGTTAGTTTTCTTGGAATACTTATAATAATTGTTCTTATGGTGTTCACACAGTTCAAGCTTCTTGATCCATTAATAATGCGAAACAAAGAAGGAACACCATGGTATGTATTTAAACTTTAATGAAATTAAAAAGAAGTAAACGCATATTAGAATTATATTATATAGCTAATAGGAAAAAGGAAGAAGAAAAAAAGAAGAAAAACAAAAATCAGACCAACACATCTAGTGACCTTTGTCGTGGGAGCCACTAAAATTATTCTTAAAGTTGTCGAAAAATTTAAGGTAGTCTATAAACTATGTAAAAGACAAACCCTTGAATACATATTTTCCTGTTTTTTCCGTTTAAAAAAAGTTGTACCGCTTTTGTACTTATCTCTAGACAACTTATTAAAATATAAAACCTTCAAAAACAACATACATGGTGATAACAACTACGAAATTATAATTTATAGTAATATTTATCTTAATAATTATTAAAATACTTGATTTGAATAATAGAAGGCATAAAAAAGGTATATTCACTATAATGATCATTGATGTTTATACACAAAACTATCCGTAATTTTCTAATTAATTAATTCTTGTTGTGCCACACAAAACATATATAGGTGATAACTATTCAATATTGGCGACAGCGGCAGCATATCGATTTGTCGCTGCTAAAGATACATGTCGCCGCTAAAGAAGACGAACTCGGTCTTCCGCTAAATATCAATTTGTCGCTGTTAAAGATACATGAGATCTGCGGAACGCAACCGATGATTCTGCACACGAAACAAAATTCCCAAGACACTGAAGTCAACTCGGTCTTCCATTCTGAAGAAGAGGAACTTTAAACTTCTGCAAACCCCAAGCTACTTCGCATACAGGACCCTCATGCTAGACACTTATGCCCGAACACAATGTTGCCACTTGCCTTCTTTCCAAAGGAACGGGGACCTCCCTGGTCTGAACCTTTTTGTCCACCATCCGAAATACCAGATCCCCTCCGGTTACTAAACCCAAGCGCAAACTCTCAGTCGCTCCCAGCGACCTCCGAAGAAACTTCGGCTAGCTAAAACTGCCCTATCTATCTTGTTACTCTGGCTCCTTAAGTCATGGGATCCTCGATCCTCTAAATTGGCCCTACGGTCTCAACCAGGTCCCAACTGCGCTGCTGCAATCATACGGGCCTTGCCCACAGGTCTCACCCAACTATATCTTGGAGTGGTCTCTCCCACAGGTCTCACATATCTTGGGCTATACAGGCCCCACTCCACCCTAAAACTCAACGAACTACCCTCTCTATCGATCTTCATCATGCTAACTAAGAGATATGGGCCACACCCACATTCTGCTAAGTAGGAGATACGGGCCCTCGCCCACACTCCTCTAACTAGCTGCTAACGAAATGCTACGGCTACCCCGCAGCCTTACTACTCTTCCCGCTCCGCCTAGCTGCTAGAGATTGCTACGGCGACCCCGTAGTCTTTCATCCTGACTAAACTTGTACCCTGTCGATAAAATCTCCCACTTGGTTCCCACCCAGGTATCATCTACCGCGAAAACCCGAACTCAATGTTGGGAAGTTTCCCAAACCCCCAACTCGTGCGCTCCTCTAATCCAACAGCCACTGGGGTTGCTTTCCTTTCTAACAAAATTGCGAACGCATCCCAATTTGCACTTACATGTGCTCCTGACCTCTGGGATAGTTCTCCCCCACTTTGATTCGACTATATCCCTTCAACTCCCAACTTGGGAAGGATTCTCAATCCTTCTCTCCATCTAAAAGAGTCAATATGCTGACATCCAACACTTACCACTGCTAACATTCCAACTAACCAATACCAAATCTGAACTACTCTTGAAGACTAACAGAACACTTTCCGAGAACCGGCTCCAAAAAGGGGGGTACTGCTATGAACTACTGGCCGAAAATCCATGGTATGCAGATGGAATATGATCCGAAAACGAACAGAAATAAAGTTCTAATATACATTCATTAACATGGATGCAGTACCACAACAATATGATCATGAATAAAAGTAGGCCAGGAAAGCAAAAGATTCATACCTGCAACGTAGATTTGATGCATGTCGAGAAAAATGTGGGTGAGAGTCTTTTTGATATTTCTATGATGAATGATAATAGTAAAGACATCAAATGCACGTGAGGACTTGAAAAATATGAATATACGACGTAATCAATGGTTGCAAAAAAAGGGTAACAAGTTCACTAGACCACATGCAAGCTACTCATTCAAGAAACTTGACCACAAAATCTTTTATCAATTTATAAGAGATGTTAAATTTCCTAATGGGTTTGTATCTAACATCAGTAAGAAAGTGGTAGATAATGATACAAACATTATTGGGTTGAAATCTCATGCCTATCACATTCTTATGCAATGCTTGATACCGATTGGAGTTAGAGCGTGTCACACCCCCAAACAAGAATGGCGTAAACATTTGGGGGTGGATGACTTCACGTAGTACCATAACAATTGAATATCGTAAAGAAAGTAACACAACCATCATATATATAACAAAAACGTACATTGTTGCGTAATACATGTTTCCAAAAGAATATTACAATATGATGATTTAAATTTTTTTGATAATAGACGCCTTAGCGTTCCTTCTTCAAAAGTTGGTAGTTACCTGTATTACTGATTCCCTGAGAAATACAAGTAGTTTCGAAAAAGTGTCAACAATAAAGTTGGTGAGTTCATAAGTGTTTTTGTGCTGAAAAAGTATGTCTTTTTAGAAGAAAACAGATGAATTTGATTTCGAGAAAATCCAATATTTTCCACATATAGTTTGAAAAAGCTCCTGAAAGTTGGAGGGTGTTAGTATCTTTCGTACCTAAATGATAAAAATGAATGTATATTCGGAATAATGTAGATACTGAATGCATTCATGAGTGTCATAAATCAAGCTTATTTTTATACTTCCATGTGAGTCTTATAACCATGCTACTGACACAGACTGCCTGTAACAACATTCTTCAGGTGTTGTAGTGTTATGACATTTGTCACCCTAGACTTGCCGGTCTAACTGTAGCTAACAGTTTAGGTGCGGGATTGTCAATCCTGTATAGATCTATACACAAGTATCACGCTCTCCCTCCAAGAGATTATGGTTTATAATACAGGACTTGAAATGCACACTTGAGAGTACGTTGAAGTTGAATATCTTACATCACTTAGTATAAATAGATTTACGATAAGAAAGTCTTTATTTCACTTCAGGTGAAAGTATTTCGTTTTTCAAGATGTATACGTAAGAATATATGAATAACTCGCAAACTATACCCATTATAGTTTTTCAGAAAGTGTGTTCCATTTGGTGAAAATAACTTGGTGAAATACTAAACTTTATATGTAAAGTAAAATGTTGATATCGAATAATAATAAAATAGAAGTTGTATTTATATCTATATAAAACGATACGTTTTCTTGTATTGTACTTGTATTCCCCCCACCCCCTAAAACATGAAAAGACTTGTTCGGTTTGAAGAGAGTGAGACTAGGATCGAGCAGAACTTCAACTGCGGAAAGATGTGTCTTCGAGCTTCTCGGGGATCTCGGTAGTGTAGAACCTTCGTCGAGGGCTCGGGTATGGAATCGCGGGTGCCGGGATGGCCTTTGGAGCTTACAAGTGTGTGAAAGTGAGAGATAGTTTGAGAAAAGTGTGCCAAAACCCGGAGTTTATGCCCTCTATTTATAGGGTTGAAAGTGTGAGTACGTTGGGTGTACTACCGAAGTACGTTGGGTGTACGCGTTACGCTGGGCGAAAATTTGCATCATGGCTTACGACTCGAGTCTAGCTAGGCATAGATCCTGTAGCCGATGG